TTTGCGTATCACCAAAAGTTTACTATATTTTTCAGTTTTCGAAGCCTTTCTTGTATAGTTAATATCTTTAAGAATTTTAGCTTTATGACAAAAAATTGGATCGCATTACTATATATCATATGTGCATTATAGCGAAGCTAGAGTCAAAGACACATATTTTGAAAACCTTTACATATCACTTTATTGATATCTACTTAATGATACGTAAAAGCTCATTTTTTTTGTAACCTTTGTATACCACTTTTTGAAAATTTTCATATATCACTTTTTTGCTTACCTTTGCGTATCATTTTTTTGCTAACCTTTGCATATCACTTTTTTGATATCTACCTAATGATACGTAAAAGTACAATTTTCTTTTACCTTTGTATATTCTTGATTAAATATTCTGCTCCAATGCCAAAATCGCATAACACAAAAATGGTTATAGTTACCTATCCTATGATCTGAATTAATTTTCGATTTGAATTTTTTCCAGCATTTATTGTAAGAGGCAACATCCCTTACCTGAGATAAATGACTAGTTAAATGTAACAATTTCTCTCCACCAGAGATTATTACTTAGCTAGATTTTATGCATATTCAATAAGGGCTAAAGTGCGGTTTTTTAATTCTCTTTTGTGCGGAGTAGTAGGAATACCCAATTTAGCTTCGAAATTTCGTTTATATTCCAAGAACTCGGCTTCATTCATGCTTTCGCGCTCTTTTTTCTTTTTTTCTCTCAAGTTCGAAAAAAAAGTGATACTCCAAGGTATATTTAACAATTTTCATTGATTATTTTTTTCAAATAATATAAATAAAAGGCATATTCTATAGCACTATTTATATCTAAAGAAATCGATTCTTCATCACTTTGAAGAAATTTTATAAGCTTTGTTTTTACGTCATTTTCAATTTTTTGCCAGTTTGGATTGATATTATCTTGAGAGCTCATTTTGTATAATAACTGTTTCATATAATTTTTAAGAATTAATAAATTTATTTAACTTCTATTTTTCTTCATTATCCGACGATCCACATATCCCGTAACCACTCACTTTTCCTCTCCATTCCCCGTGTAGGCCTCAATACCACAAACCACATAACTGCGATAATTAATAGAATAAGACAAATATATGCTGATAGCGATTCAATCAAAGAGGGGGTATGTGTCAAAGACACTGAGCTCTGCCCACAATTTTCCGGCTGTGCAAGGTAAGGAGTCATATTCGGTATTTCCTGAAGTGTATTGTTGTTAGTTTTGCTAATATCGATTTCGTCACTTATCTCGGGAATAATCTCTGTATCTACTCTTGGAGATGAGGCATAGCCTCGAATTACTGATTCCTCAGGTATAGAAGTTCTTTCATTATCAGTGTTATCTGGTATAATAGCAGAGCTAGTGTCAGTGGCAAAGCCACGAGTCTTCGACTCAAGACACATGGTATCGATTTTTCCAGCTTGATCCATATTTTTTCCACGTAGAAAATATTGACTGATGTTTTTGCTAGGCTCACTAACTGCAGATATATCAATAGATTTGATTATGGAACTTTGTTCCTCGCTCTGCGTATTTTTTTCATTATCTCCACCAACTATGGGTTCTGATATATCCTCTGATTTTAGATGTTCAAGCTCACTAACTTTTAAGGATAATTCATCTTTCATGCGCTCCAATTCAGTTATTTTGGACTTGAGAGAATCGATCCCGGAGGCTTTCAGAGATGAGTCCTTCTGAGCTGAAAATAATTTCTCTTCCAATGACTTTATTCTAGATTGGAAAGAATTCGCCTCTTCCATTTTTTTGTAATACTTGGTTTGATAGCCAGTAAGAGAAAGTTCTTTAAGAGCACCCTGGGATACAAGATTAGTATTTTCGCTCTGTAACTGTTTGATTTCTTCTTTGAGTTGTTTCATATTTGAGTCATTTCGTGTTTTGGCATCGGTGATTCGATTTAATTTTTTCCGGAGACGTAAAATTTTTTCATTTTTTGATTTCAACTCTTTTGCAAGTTCATCTGATCGTGTTTCTGCAAGCACTTTGGCATTTCTAAAATCAGAACATTTATTAGCAAAAAATTCGGTTTTAATGAGTAACTCATTACGTTCAGATTCAAGCTCACGTTCTCTAGTGCTATCTAATTTATATCCACACCCTTGAAAGTTTTCGGCAACAGTAGATCCACTATTTAAGGTATGTATTGGTGCCATATAATTAAAGAGAATATGTTTAACAAAAAATTGAATTAATTTTGATTTTTAACGTTATTTAACGATAGCAAATGGTAACCTTTGATTTTTAACGTTATTTAACGATAGCAAATGGTAACCTTTGATTTTAACGTTATTTAACAGTAGTAGATGGTAAACTTTGATTTTTAACGTTATTTATCCATGTAAAATATTAAATTTCGATATTTATTATCTTTTATTAAGTAAAGTAATAATCTTCGACCCAATTCGAAAAAAAAAACATCTTTGAACAATGTCCACTCCACATCTAAAAACTTATTATCGCCGAGGTGCTACTATTTTAACACCTGAGCAAATCGAAGAGATTAGGAAATCCAAAAATAAGGTTCCTAAATATGTGCTAGTAAGGAATTTCCATATTAATGAAAATCGTGTTGAGGATATATGGAAAAATAGCGAGCGTTCTCAACAGAATGGGGACCACAGCTTATCAAATACAGTAGATCGGTTTCCTGATTCACCTCATTTACTAAACATTGGCATGGATGAAAACGTTATGCAAGTAAACTCTATTGTTACCTCAGATAAGCAGACAAAAAAGACTGGCAGAAAAAAAAAGGACAATTCTAGTGCGGAATTATCTAAAGGTGGAGATCTATCGGAATCGAAAACCATACATCATTCTATTTTAAATAATCAGTCTACTTTGTCAGTGCCAGAAAATGAAGTGCAAGCCAGAATGTCACATTTGCGAAAATATGCTAAAGAGCTTCAAGCTGAATCCTGAATTCGAATCAATTCCTTTTCAAGATATTCAGCATAATCTAAAACTTTAAGAAATTCATCTTTGAGATTTTGCCGTGTGTCCCAAACCTTAGAATGGAACTCTAATATTTTAGTATCTGGAATGAGATTAGGATTAATCACGTGTTTTTTTTTAGTTCTGTATCTGTCTCTTCGGAAATAGAAGGAATTGCACTAACATGATGTACCTCAAGCTCATTTTCAACTCTATGCATAGTAACTGGGATGATGAAATCTTTTCCATTGCAATGAAGCTTCATTTCGGATTTAGCCCAATCCATCGCACAATCATGTTTTTTAAGGAAGGGATTACTCAATATAACCATAGACTTTTCGTATTCAATAACTGCAAAATCTAAATGAAATACACAGCCGGGAGCTAGGGTTAATGGTACATTATAAACCATTCCAATAGATTTGGTTAGGACAGTGGATGCCCCCTTGAAATAAAACGTCGTACCTTTATCAATTTTCAAACCCAATCGCTCAGCAATGTCCCTAGACATAAGTAAAGTATTTGAGCAAGAATCAACTAAAATTGCCGAAAGTACTAAACGTTTGATTTTACCCCGCACAGTCGCAATATCTATCACATCTTTATCCCGAACAAAGTTAATTTCCATATCTTCAATAACTTCTTCATCCTTGGTATCTTCGATTTGTTGAGAAGAATCATTGGTGGTACTAGATTTCTGAAAATTTCGTAAGATTTTATTTATAGTCTCCTCAAATAAAGTGGAATTTTCAAGCTCGCTTTGAATTATCTCACGAATTCGTCTCTCTAGTAAAGTCGAAGTGGAATTTTGCGATCCTTGAAGAGGGGTGAGTTGAAGACTCGAAGCTTTGCTTCCTCGATTCTCCTTACCCTCTGAAAAATATGTATCTTTCTTGTCTTTGGATCGGGATTGTTTATCAGATGTTTTCTTAATGAGTACTCTAGGTTGATCTATTTTTTTTTAATTCTGGATACATTAACATTGGATTCCTCATCAGGTACATCATCATCAATTTCATCATTGCCTTCTTGATCAGAAATAGCAGATTCATCAGGAAATTCTTCTGTATCAGAGTGGCTTTGTTGGAATCCATCAGCAAAATTCACACGACCGGTTCTTTTTCTAGAATTATCAACCATCATATTCTTAATTATGGGACAACTGCGATAAGTATGACCTAGCTTTTTACAAATTTCGCATTTTCGTGAGGGTGGTCTAGTATTTACTCTAGGGGTTCTGACCATATTTATTGACGGATTCGGGGAGCTGGGCAATCCTTCAAGTTGATCTAATTTATTAGCAATATTGACTATTGCATAATCAATTTCCATTGGTTCGAAAACTCTATTATCCTCAGTCTCAAGACCCAATTCCGCGTAATTTTTTAACTCTTCATAGTATTTTGCTTTCTCAGTTTTTGGACGGAAATTTTGATATTCATATATTGGAGGATTTGTAATTCGTTGATGTGGTTGAGATTTCGGTTGCTGAACAATTTGCTGGGGAGGTTGGAGCACGGGTTGCTGAACAATTTGCTGGGGAGGTTGGAATGCGGGTTGTTGAACAATTTGCTGAGGCGGTTGGAATGCGGGTTGTTGTACGATTTGTTGGGGTATCTGAGACATCATCCCATTCATATTATTCGCACTTCCATAATTAAACGAAGAAGGCCTACGTTTAAGCCACAAATTTTTGAGATGAGTAAAGAATGCATTAATTTCCGTGGGATTTGCACGTTCCATCCTGGTGAAAAGTTCATTTGGTAAATGATCCATAATAAATGACAAGGCATTAGCATCGTTATTAGCAACTCCTAATAATAAGGGACGTATCCTAGTCTCATATGTATCTGGTGTATCATTAGGTAAAAATTTTTCGTAAGCTAGCCTCTGGAGAGCAACTTGTTGTGTCCCAACTGTTTCTATCTGATATTTATGACATAGCCATTCGTATAAGCGAGCTGGAGTATCAATATTATTTCCAGCATGTTGATTGGGTACATCTGCATATTTTTTACCCAGTTTGCTCTTCAAGATCGCAACTTTATGAGCATCATCAATTTGTGTTACTGCGGGATATGATAATATGGCATTAATTCCATTATACCATTCGCCAGGTTGAACCTGTCCATTATAAAATTCAACATTTGCAAGTAAAGGTGCAATACCAGTCAAGTCACCTATAGGTGTCGCCATATTTGGTGGATTATTCTGAAGCGCTAAAATTTGTTGATTTAAATTTATAATTATTTGCCTCGAACCTTTTTCCTTATTTTCCCATTTTTTGTGTTTCGCCTTTTGCTTGATATGTTTAGCTTTTCTCTTTGCATGCTTTCTACGCCAATCTTGTAAATCGGCTTGGCAATTTTGTAATTGACCCGTCTGGAAATTGTATGCCTGATTAATAAGATCAAAATTATTATTGGTATTAGCCAACTGATTGGTTAAATTACCGACTTGTTGATAATAGACTTGTGATTGGGTGTTTTCCCACTCAGCTATATCTCGAAGCCTAGCTACAGCATTTTTAATATCGGTAAATTCATTTTCTATAGTAGATCGTGGGATGGCAGGTGTTCTCCGTAATATAGCATCGATATTCCTGAATGCATTTCGAACAGATTCAGATGTGGTCTGGTATTCATTAGGTCCTGGCGCTTGAATTGTTTGAGCCATTACAGGTTTATTATACTTCCGAGATGTAATTTTTCGGATTCTATTTTTTAACTTGATCACTTCCTCTTCAAGTATAGCCAACTGTTGTTCTCGAACAAGTATATAACTCTCTGTTTTATCTACATCCTTTAAAGCAGACCGAAGACGTTTTTGCAAATCGGATACTTGGGATTTGAGTTCCTGTACTTCTTTTTCGTAAGTAATGATTGTGGTATCCTGAAATGAAATAGTTCTACTGCATTGCTCTAACTCTTTTATGAGAACGCGAATTTTTTTCTCGTTTGTTTGATTTATGTCTACTTCTTTACCCAACTCTTTACGCAACTCTCAATTAGTATCTAGCAGTTGTAAGTACGCAGGATCGGTTTGGAAATTCATATCAAATATCTAGCCTTAGTTTATAGTATCTATTATAATATTCGTGATAATGGCAATGAGTGTACCTAGTATTATAATCAGTGCAGATGAGGAATTAAAATTTGTTCTTTGTTTAATCTACTATCACGTACCTGGTTTTTATACAACCACAAAACAGTTACAAAAAGCTTGTTGGAGAGAAGGATACGATCATTTTTTCCTGCAAGATATCAAAAAGTGGTTAAAGAACCAATATGTTAACCAAATTCATCAGCAACCACAAAAAATCAAAGCTCAAGCAGGATTCGGAAAGATTAAAATTCCTAATAAAGTTCATCAGTGTGATTTATTACCTCATGTTCGTGATGATCAGGAAAGTGGAAAAATATATCTTTATACTTTGGTAGTCATAGATGTTGCTACACGGTTTAAAGGTGCACGGTCATTGACATCGAAAAATAGTCTGGAAGTTTGGAATGCAATCGAAGAAATATACAATGATCCAAATAATCCTCTCACATGGCCGAAGTTGTTAATGGCTGATGGCGGGAAGGAATTCTCTGGATATTTTTCGCAAGGAATGGAACGTCATAATGTCACTATCTGGGTCGTTGACCTTTACAGTTTTGAAAGCCTAGCAATTGTTAAGGCATATAAGCGAGAGTTGGCAAAAAAGACATACAAAATCCAATATGCAATAGATTCAAAATTACCAGCAGGAGAGTGATCGAGATTGTGGAATAAAATTCTCCAAGTAATTGTTGATAATATGAATAATACAAAGACACGTTTAATAGATATACCACCTGCTAACGCAATGAAGTTGAAAGAAGTGATCTCTAAACCATCTATCAAACCCAAAAGACCTATTGGGGAAAACGAAGAGCAAATACCAAAGGGTACTACTGTTCGATACTTATTAAAACCCGGTGAGTTAGAAGGTGGACATACACGTCGAGCAACTGACCCATACTGGAGCCTGCGGGTCTATCGAATCAGAAAAATCGTTGTTGGAAAAAAACCACCACAACCGGTCTTATATTATCTTGAAAAAGAAGCGGTTGAATCGACCAAAAATTTGATGGGTAGAAATCCACGTCAACCATTTAAGCACGAAGAATTGCAAATCGTAGATATGGAAAGTTTAGAGTACCCACCAGATGAATTTATCCAAAAATATCATTATCAAACAAAGCCAATCCAGAGAAAACCATTATCAATTGGAACAGTTCTGGAGATATCCATTCTTGATTAGAGAATCTCGGATAAAGTTATAAAGATCTACGTTATATGGAATTTCGATAAGGCATATATCTTGCTCCTTACAGATATTCCGCTTTTTTGATTGCGCTTTCTTTGCTCATATAAATCTTGCCCGCTTTTATGAAACATTGGATTAAGAGCATAATGTTGTTTGCCATTAAATTTGAATGCCAGTTGCAATTCTTCGTTATATCCATCAAGCCGTAATCCATTCAAGAATTTTGGTGCACGAGATGGGAATTCTTTTCCTAACAAATCTTCAAATATATACCTTGATGTACGTTCCCCTTTCGAATGAGGACATAGCGGACACCAGTCGTACCTCTTCGTAATAACTTCGAGTGGTCTCTCCCATAAGTGGTTTCTATGACACGAAAATAAGAAAGTTGTAGGACCGGTTTGAATGAGAGCTTTTCCACCACGTTTTTCTGTGTAAATTTGAGCTTCAGTAAGGTTCGTCATGTTTATACTATATATATATATTAGTATTAGTATTAAGAAAAAATAGCACGTGCGTGTTAAAAAAAAACACCGATCATTCTTGGCAAGAAAAAATATTAATATATTCAAAATTGTGTCTAATATTTTATCTCGAAAATTATAACAGAATGAAATACTATTATATATATCATACTGATGAAGTTAAACCGTCGAAGAAATCTTTAGATGATGAAGACGCTCCAAAGTGGCCATTCTATATTGTAATGTCTGGAAGATCAAACACCGGTAAATCCAATATGGTGGTATATCTCTTTTCCAGAAATAAATATTATGATATGAAAATGAAAAAAAAAACGAATTGGTGAACGTCATATACGATGTAATGATATTGTATTAGTAGGGCACCATACCAATGAACCCAAATACCGATTACTTTGAAATTTCTATAAGATCCTTCCAAACCGTATTATGAAGATGTTACTTTTACTACGTTTACACCTGATAAAATTCCAGATCTAAAGCAGTTTAAAAATCCAAAAAGACGTACAGTAATTATTTTTGAGGATATGTGTACTGAATCTCCAGTGATTCAAAATCGTATCATTCCATTTTTTAATAGAGGACGACATAACAATATCTCTGCTATTTATATTTCACATAAATTTACTCAAGTTCCAAAAATCATCCGTGAGAATGCAACGCATCTTGTATTATTTAATGGCGGAGGATCCACAGAAGATATTGCAAGAATTATAAGACAATACATAGAGGAGGATCCACGTAAAGCCTCCAGAGTCATTAATAATTATTTGCGGAATGGAGAGTTTATAGTTTTTGACACTACTGTACCAATTTCTGATCCTATGTCCATTAGAATCGGTTGGATGAATCCTCTAAACCTGGAAAAAGAGATCAAATCATTAATTGCGTAATAAAGATATGTGTCTCAACACTAGCTTCGCTATTAAATTATATCCTACAAATCGTTGTAATATACATAATTAGCACTTGAATATCGGAAGTATAATTTATTTTTTTTTTTTTTCCTGATATTTCTGTCTATATAATATATCATACATCCTATCTGCCACTCATATTTTTGAGATGATCGAATCCTGCCGTATTTGAAGTTAGAGTGGATGTGTAAAAATATATTAGGTATCGATACATTATCTACACTAGGGGGATTTTTGTGTTGTATGAAACGAGTTTGTATGCAAAAATATATAGATTTAAATGTGGTTGAGTTGTGCTAGAGTTGAGCTAGAGTTGCACTAGAATTTTTTCTATATAGTTATATGAAAAATGATACACTCATGCTTGAGTCACGCTAGAGTCATGCTAGAGTCATGCTAAAATATAGTAAATCATAATAGTAAATTATAGTAAATTATTTCTAATCACTGCTAATTCGAATTTTAGGATTAATTGGAAAAAAGTAATATTCATTTGATTCATGGTCTTTGATCTTTCGCGATCTACCTTTTTCGAGTATACATTAGCAGAGCTAGCAAGGTTATTATCTTTGCAAAAATCTGAAGAGATCCATGAATATTTTTGACACTAATAGTAATAGTAATATATGGGAAAAAATCGAAATATATATTAATATGCATGATTTTAAGAATCTAAACCATGTGCGGTTAATCCAATTTTAGGGTTCCCTGCATATAGTCACACAAGACATCAACTGACCATATTTGCACGATGTAGATGTTCTATGAACTTCGAATAACATATGAAATCTAGATGTTGCAAAATTTAATAAGTAACAATAGCAGAGCTAGTGTCAGAGACACATATTTTTGGTTTACATGGGAATCTGGTACAAAAAAAGATACCAGCCCTCAAGGGGTATCGAAATAAAGTCTAAAGTACTAGCCCCTCAAGGAATACTTTAGGTGGTTTTATTTTAAATAGATAGATATATATATGAATAAGTTATATAACTATTAAATCAAACAAATCGAATAAATAGATGTGTATAATAATTAATATATTTATGCTTCTATTTCTAAAAGTCGCTTTTGGAATCTAGACCGCAATTGACTCTTTTTACGAATTATCCAATCATATGGAATGGTATATTCCTGATACATACTAATTTCAAATTCAGCATCATAAGGATACCTATTATATTTTTTTATATACTCGGCATATTCTTTATTAAGACGTATTTTAATTTGATCTAGAGATACAGGATT